CCCCAAAACCCCAAAACCCCAAAACCCCATGAATGATGTGTATAGTTTTTTTATTTGTTTGTGAATAAATGAGTATTATTGTGAACTATAAAATAAATATTAATTCAGGTAGAAATAATCTGATAGACAGAAACTTGTAGTTAGTGATTCATGATAAAAATACTTCATTTTAAGTATGTGTTCTTCATACTTAATTAGTTCCTACTCTTTCTAGCTACTCATTGCTTAGAAAATAAAGATGAGATATAATATGCAATAGACGAGATGAAGAATTTTCAAAATAAAGATAGCGATTCCTAATATCTAAAGATTTCTTACATCATAGAATTACTAGATTAGTTCCAAATAAATTATGATAAAGACTCAGTTTTTAAGGTCAGAGCAGAAGTAACCGAGCATCTAATGACCTAATCTCAAGAAATTCATAATTCAACTAAAGATTACTAAGATCTAGATGTGGCTACTAAAATTTAAAGTATATTACCAGATTTTGAACAAAAGGAAACTTATCAATTAACAGAAATGATAAAAGGAGAAAATACAGACTAATAAGATCAGCAACTGATTCACAATAACCTAAATATTTTTAACGGAAAGATTGATAACAATTAAGAGTATATCAAGTTCAGTCAAGATCTTAATGCAATGAGTACATAGTTATTGGAGCTGACTTAGTCTATCTTAAATGAAAAAATATAAGAAAATAAAATTAAATAACTCAAGGATCCCATAGATCAAATAAGAAAATTATTGAAGTAATTGAAAGGTATCATCTCAACACATAGTTTGCGAGTTTTAGATGAGAGTGATACGAATAATAATCAAACCAAAGGGAGTCAAATATAAAGTAATTCAAACTCTAGTGATTCAAAATAAAATAAAGATTAAAGTTCTGGTGATGAATAAGTCGGGGAATTCGGAGGAATAGCAAACAAGATACTCCCAGCCTATGTTGGCGTGATACTTGTAATATACAATGACATTATAAACTTTTTAGGTTATAGTTGGTATTGTATTACTAATCTTATCATTTTACTTACTCAGAAGAGTGATTTCTCGCTACAGATCACAAAGACTTGAAGAGCAGCTTAATTTGTAAAGAGTAGACTAGCTTACAAGCGATCTATAGAGAATAAGACCTATAAATTTAGACACATAGAGACTCAATTCTCTGTAGAAGGTTACTGAGTTAGCGCCTCAAAAATGCTTTAAGGACCTAAATGAGAATTAATACAACATGGCTTAATGTCCAATATGTCTTGAAAACTTTAAGCAAGAAGATAAGATAAGAATTACCTAGTGTCACCATGTAATGCATTCTTGCTGCTTGATCGAATGGGCTGGAAAGTAATTAGAACTGACAGCTAGATAGCTAAGCTTTTCTCATCCCTTCTGCCCTAATTGCAAGTTTGATCTCACGACAGATAAACAAATTAAATATTAAAATTACTAAGAATTTAGGCTTCAGATAAACAATTTTGAAGGACTACACAATTAAAATACTTTTAATACAGATGTAATAAATTAGTTGAGCTTAAGAGTTGGTGATGAAAACTCAGCATAAAACTTGGCTGATGAGAACAGTACTAGGAGAAACCACGAATAATTCATTGATTAATATTTGCTAGAGGAACATGAGGAAAATATATAATAAGAGTAGGATATTAACAATGGATTGCCAGATTAAGTTTACAGATTGGCAGTCATTTGAGAATGCTTTTGACCCTTATCAAATTCTAAACACTTATTACCTATTAACTATACAAACTCTTTTTACAAGCATTTAATATCAAATCCAAGAGAGTATAGAAATAGTAAATAAACTTTGGAATAAAGTGGATATTGACATTTTTTTAAATAATATAGCCCTTGCTATTTTATTTTTAGATTTACTATTCGATTTCAAACCATAAGAAATTTTACATACGGGGTTTTGGGGTTTTGGGGTTTTGGGG